GCCTTCCCGATTCTCACCCGATTTGACATCCTCGTCCGTTCCGACAGCCTGTAGTTGAGACAATGCTCCCTAGATGAATGAAGTGAATGAAGTGACCTCTTTCAAATCCCCCCCGTTGATGGTGATTGACGCTGGATGTTGCTGCTGTTGTTGGTGGTGGTGGTTGGTTATTTTCATCACCTCCGTCTTGTCTATGTTCACTTGGAGTCCTGTCTTCGCCGGCTGCTTCTTCCACCAGTTTGTCGGTCGGTTTTCGCTTGTAAGTCTTCGATTTTGTGACAGCGACATCAAACATAAATCATCCACGCGCGAAATCCAGGTCTTCTAGGTTCTTCGCGTCGGTCCAGGATATTCCTGTCTCCTCGTTTCCCACTCACTGTCTGACGCATAATCCAGTCAGTCCACCACAATTAGGAATATCATTGGTGATAGTAAGCACCCTTGTCTGACTCCTGTGTTTACTCCAAACGCCTCGCTGAGTTTTCCGTTGTGGATCACTTGACATGTGTCGTTGTCGTACAGCTGTTGAATAAGGTTGATGAATATTCACGGTACGCCGTAGTACTCGAGTAGTTTCCAAATTACTTCGCGGTCAACGCTGTCTGTCGAAGGCCTTCTCGAAGTCTATAAAGTTGAGGTAGAGGTTTGATTGCCATTCCATGCTTTGTTCTGTGATGATGATGCGTAGAGTTGCAATTTGGTCAGTACATGATTTGCCTTTCCTGAATCCAGCTTGTTCTGGTCGGAGTTCTGTCTCCAGTGCGTCCTTTAATCTCTCCAGGATGATGCGACTCAGGATTTTACTTGGCGTCGACAGGAGCATGATTCCTCGCCAGTTCTTGCAGAGTGAGGCGTAAGTCGCCCTTCTTTGGTAGTTTCCCCAGGTAACCTTTCCTCCAGTCAGTAGGCACCTTTCCCTCCTTCCAGACCTTTTGCAATAATGGAGTGAGTCGCATGTCTGCTGTAGTCTCTGGGTCCGCTTTCAGTGCTTCAGGGGGTATTCCATCTGGTCCAGCTGCTTTTCCAGCTTTCAGAAGCTTGATTGCATTCAAGACTTCAGCTCTCGTTGGAGGATTGGTGTCAACTTGCAGTTGTGTACGTGCTGTTTTTGGTGTTTCTGGACGGGTTGCAAGTGATGGTCGGTTCAAGAGTCCTTTGAAGTGATCCGCCCATTGTTTAATCTGTTTTTCTTCCTTGTTAATTGGATTCCCTCGGCTGTCCTTCATAGGTTTCGCTTGTGTTGATCTCTTCACGGATAGAGATTTGGTTATCTGATATAGTGTCCTCAGGTCCCTTTTGCCTGCTGCCTTCTCAGCTTCAGTGGCCAGATTAACGTAGAATCGTCTTTCGTCCTTCCTAGCACTCTTCTTCACTTCTTTGTCCAGTGCTGTGTAAGTTGAGCTCAGCGTTTCCTTCTCTTGTCCGTCCTTGCATTGAATCATTTTCTCTTTCACCATTCTCCTCTCTTCTATTAATTTCCAAGTGTCCGTTGAGAGCCATTCCTTGTCTTGTCTCTTCTTTCTTCCTAGAACCGTTGAACACGTTTCGTTGAGAATCGCCTTCAGAGACTTCCGATGTTCTTCCACGCATGATTCTTCAGTGATGTCGCGTAGTGTTTCCTGCTTTGCTCTGACAGTTGCAGTGAAAGTGTCTTTTGTGGTTGTGTCCTTCAGTAATTGAGTGTTGAGCTTGCATTGTGGCCTGTCCCCAGATATCCTCGAGGCTTTTAGCTTCACCTTGAAAGTCCCTTGTACTAGATAGTGGTCTGAACCCACATCTGCTCCTCTCCTTGACCTTGTGTCCAGTAGGCTCCGTCTCCACTTTCTTGAAATTGAGATGAAGTCCTTCTGGTTTTTGGTGTTTCCATCTGGTGAAATCCATGTCATCTTGTGTATATCCTTGTATTTGAAAACGCTGCCACCAATCACCAAATCATTGAAGGCGCAGAAGTCTGAGAAGAGTTCACCATTGTCGTTCATTTCACTGAGGGCCTCACGACCCATGGTGAGTTTTCTTCCTGTATTGTCTCCTCCCAGCTTCGCATTCATATCACCCACCAGGATTTTGATATCGTCATTGGGGACGTTGTCCATTATTGTTTGTAGTTGTCTGTGGAAAGCCTCCTTCTTCTCTTGTTCTGAGACGTTCGTAGGTGCATAGCACTGAGTGACTGTAACTTTCCTTCCTTTTGAGTTGAACTTGGCTGTCATTATCCTGGAGGAGATTGGTTCCCACTGCATGAGAGTTTTGGCTGCTGTTGGTGACATCATGATAGCTACTCCCTCGCTGTGCTCGTGGTTGTCCTCTGGGTGGCCGGAATAGATTATTGTCTCTCCAGTAGGTAGTTGGCACCTTCCAGTTCCGTTCCATCTGCTTTCGCAGATTCCCAACACTTCTATTCTGTATCTTCTCATTTCAGGGCTATCTCGGCAGCCTTTCCAGTTTCGTACATTGTACGAACATTCCAGGTACCCATCCTTACTTTTGCTTTCATCGAAAGAAGGCACATCGGCTGACTGGCTTCCCGAAGGCTTTCACCAGCCTGCGTCATTTCACTTCCCGATTCCAGCAAAAAATAAGGCTATTGTTTATGTTTTTAGAATTTTTAATATATTTATTCGTTGAAGTTTCTGTAGCGACTTGGTTGTTTTACAGGGGTGGAGTTGCTAGCACCACGTCCCAACCCTCCCTCTTTACCCGGGCTTGGGACCTGCTAGAAAACTAGTAAGCTAGTACTAGGAAGCTAGTAATCTGGCGAGGTTATTTCCATCTTTTAATTATATATATTAATTTTTCTTCGTTATTTGTCACCCAGTTGACATTTTGACACTAACTAATTACTGTTAACAAACATATCACCACTTGATTGGTAAATTGTTGTCTATGTAGTAAAAATGCTAAACGTGTATATTAGAGTAGAGCCAGAGATGAAGATCTAATTGAAAAGCAGATATTTCTTCGCTGTCTTTCTCTTTTCTAAATGTCTAAATGGAGATATATTCTATACTGAAAGCTTCTGTTGTCTCCACAAAATGAGACTGCTTATAGCTTGTTGCTGACTGAATAAGCAGCAATTGTTTGAACTCAACCCATCGAATTAGTGGTAGTAACACTAGCAGTATGAGTAAGATTCAGTTCGTATCGTAGTCACAGTCAATCCAGAATATTGAAACTGTGAAATGTGGATAACTGAATTCAACTAAAGCAAAATTTCAATGAGGAATTCTAGCTATAGCACATAACGCAGTCAGACACATGCATGAAGTATGATGGAATAAAGTGATATTCCTGAAATATTGTATGGCAGGTTATAGACCGAAGCAGAGTGACAGAGTGAGACTTGTCATTCCTAATCAATTTTGTTTTGCAACATGAAATTACATGTTATCAGATTCCACACAATGTTAACTAACGTCTTTATTCACTTTTATTCTCTTCGCCTACTAATCCCATATTCTCACACCACATTCCAAATTCTATGCATCCTGTCAGTTGCTGTATATATGACAATAATTGTTTTGTCACTCAACACTGAACTGTGATAATGACATCACAAATATTTGAATTTGAATGGCATTTCATACCACCACCACCATTATTATTATTATTATTGTATTATGTATTCACACGTATGATTGATTTCCCTCACCGGATATAATTTTTTGAAAAGCATATCATAAACTATTGTACAGCCTGATAATAAATTCATCACTGAACCACTTGTTTTCAGTTTTACTTTAAGCGAATTAATACACCAGAAACGGTATTCAGGTGGATGAGAACTGATTGTTATACTTGGAAGGTGAATTTCATGAGGATTTGACAATCATTTGGTCGATATCGAGAAGCATGACACACTCACTGCATGTGTGTTTGGAACTGTTTGTTAGTAAACAGTCCTGATCAGGCCATGGGTTGAACTCAGTATTCTTCCGTTACCTGGTGATCGTGTAACAATTCTTACTGTAGACAATGCTAAACCGAGACGGAAGAGCTGTCCAGATGAAGCTAGTTTCGAGTGGTTCTATGTTTTACAGTTGGTTACTTTCGAAATCGAAATTGAAATGAATAGAGAAATCCTCAGCGGAGTTGACTGAATGTTTTGTCGAGATGCCGCTTGTGTTCTCTATATCGTCTTGGTTGAGGCAGTCAGTTTTTTGTGTCTTGTTGTTTAGTGTTAATTTGTTTTTTGTTAGATGGAATATTGAATATGGCTCATTTGGATGTGTGAAGTGTGTGTAAATTCGTCGAGCGGTCTGATTTAGTGGTTTAATGCAGCAGTTCGGAATGGCATAAGTTCAAATCACATCTGAATCATGTGATTTTAACGCAAACCGAAAGAATTATTGCAAAGACAATATCAGTAATCTGCTAGGTGAAAAAGTGCCTACCTCAGAAAATATGCTGTCGTCTCTTTTGCATTAATGCAGCTAATGGCATTCAGTTAGAGAAGCCTGAACTATGCATATTAAAGGAAATTATTAGACCACTCCTATTATCATGGCAATAACCTTGTTGCTTCCAACCCACATGATTTTCCTTTTTGCTTGTTTGTTTACTTTTCTAGCTCCTGTATTTTTTTACAACTTGCCCTCACTTAATTGCGTATTTTCCTGTCCTTTTATGTGCATCGTGATCACTACTCATCCTTTAAATTATTCATCTTGATACGTAAATCAAATACACTTATTCAACTACTCTTATGCTTTGACTAATATCAGCAACTGTGATTGTGATAGTTCATCATTTCTGTTACTACCCTCTTTCATCGAATCAAAACTGAACATAAACGCAATTGTGTAGATAAAGGTGGGAATGAATTCACTGAGAACAGCCTTTTTCACCGAACTATGTGTTTTGTTTCCATTGACACGTCTAGATGGGGATTATTCATAAAAATATCAGCAATATCGAATTTGCCATCATATCCTCAATACACTGGGGATGTTCGATTCTTACTGCATTTCAGCAGTTCCACAGTGTAAATGTCTGTTCGTGACATAGCAAACTCAGTATGAACGACAGACACAATCCGCACTGAAATCAATCATGTACTTACTTACTATCTCAACACACAAGAACAGTTCACATTTGTTATTAACACGAAAGAAGTTTACGAATATACGTTTATTGGAGAGAAACTAATCTATAGAAAGAGGAGGCAGGATATTCAGTATTAAGTAAATGAAGCATATTCATCATTTTAATAACATGCAAACAGAGCATTGGAATTAACAAAACTGAAACTATTTCTCAGTTATACAATGAGTATGAGGCCTATATATTTGCCATTTCCACTGCAGCTCGAGTAGCGGTTTGCACAGCCATACTCTAAGGTTCACTTTCTTCATAGTATTCCTTTACTTCATCCACTTCCCGATGATTTTCTCGGTTTGGTGCAAACCAACTTTTGCACAGCCTAGAAGGAGAGACAGTGAGAGAAAACGTGAAAATGAAGTCATGAATATTAGTCACAGTCAGTTTTATTATCTACAGTGCCCAGTTGTGGAATATATAATAGATGGTGGCATATTTCTAGAATCGAAAACAGTGATTTTGTGATTGTTGGTAGTTGTCTTTTCTAGTGGTGTTTATCCTGCACAGAAGTGATTAAATCATTTTCATTGTCACCTTCAACTAGAAGGAAATCTGGGAAAGGAACAACCGAAAACCTGTCGCCTAACAATTATGTCCAGGGGAATGAAAGTGACTGTGACACACGCTAAGGAGACCATTGAATGATATCACGTACTAGGCCATCGCTCGAGGGAAGTCTCAATGGGAAGTGATGAATTACTTGTCTGTGGGTGATATGGAGGATATCGTGTGTGTGTGTGTGTGTGTGTGTGTGTGTGGAGAAAATAAGAAATTTTTTTTAGTCCTACCGTCGTAGAGATACAAGGGAAAAGTTGCGAATACTGAAGAGCATGTTCGGTGTCAGACTGGATAACTTTAGCCAACTGCTCGCAAGAAGTGAAGTGCTTATTGTCAATAATGACTGTTAGCTAAGTCAAAGGCAGCGCACCACTAACCCTTAATACAGCCTCCAGTGTTCCACGTAATATAACTTAGTCTGATTTGGTGAAGTCCAGGGGAAATAAGTGAGGCGAACACTGAGCGAGAATGGGCAGGTTACATGAATTGAAAAAATGTAAGAGAAACGACTGAGTTAGACCAACAAAAGGCTCAACTGCCTTATGTAATAAGTCAAACGAAATATTTCTTTCGAAATCGACTAGAAATGAGACGACTAACAGAGATTCGGAGAGGAACTGATGCCGAGTTGGGAGATATTCAGTTCACTCCCTTTCAAAGTGCCATCAATATTAAAAGATCAGTCTGCGCGAGTCTTGTTCACATCTGAAACTAAAATCAACAAACTCTATGACATTTAGATGGATTTAATTTAAGATCATTTTGAGTGAGACTATTTGTTAACTTCAGATAAGAATCTATTCACATAAGAACAGTGCATAGCAGAAGCTTCTGGGATGCAGGCCGTCAGGTCATTGGTATATTCAGTGAAATTAGCCTTGGGGGAATACGGAAGATCATGCAAAAAGAAGATAGAAATTGAGTATAGCGCCTTGGGGCACATCAGTTTCCGTCAGCAATGAAGTGAGACGCGTTCAATTTAAAATAAAATGTTTTTTCTACCGAATGTAACTAGGTCTGCAGGAGCCAGTGAATTTATAAAAACATAGCGATTACTGCTCTTGTTAGTATTATTATTGTCGCCTACTGTACAAAATTTCCCACGGAAACTACATGAGGTATGATGAAATTGAAAACAAACTGGTCGTTACATGTGACATCACGAGTATGATACTGTCCACACAACCCAACGTCGACACAATCAGGCGTAGGTTTTCAATGGAAGAAGAAGAAGCTCTTTTGAGAATAAGGCATGCGTAATTACACTGACATTATCAAGTAATGTAGATGTAATTTTTATCATACAGCTCTAAAACACACATAAGTCACTTATAAAAGAAGACTCACATAGAACCTGAACGATATCCGCTTCCAGTTATCAGCTCATCATGGGTTGGTGGTTGCAAAGAAACTGTCCTTGTACAGTCATTATCTTGAACTGTTAATGTAAGGTCATCACTCAAAGTGAAGTTCATCCCGTCAAAATCAACAGTCATTTGTTCTTAAAATAAAATAAACAAAAAGACATTTTGATGGTTTATGGGAAGGCTTTAAACTGTCTACACTTAGACATAGTCCATGATTGAAGTGAAATAACAGTATTCTAATGATCAACTGAGTTCTGGAGTTCAACCTGTAGAGATTGCGGTTGATAATTTGTAAGTCATCGATTCATATCTTTCAACAACACATAATTTTTTCCATCTTCAATTGTTGCCCATTTTGTATCAGTAGTGGTCTGTCATTCCATGGCCATTCAATCAACATTTAAACATCATACAAAGTAAAAGATGCTACCGGAAAATGTCATTCTTACCTCCAGATTACAACACTGATAAGAGATTAAATAGTCAGAAGTTATCCAGAATATAAACCAATCAAACTGTTTGAGAGTGGAATAATGCAGGAACTTGTCTGGGATCCAAACTAAGACCTTCAAGTGACCAGGGAGTCTCGTTGACCATTCAGCCACCGGGACAAGATATAATAACCCGTCAATTCTAAGCCTTTTCAATTCGCGGCAAAAAGCATAGCTGCTAGCCAATATCACCGGTGAAGTTTGAAATAACTTTAGCAATCATATAATTTCTCAACCCATTTATGTTAGCGCTTTTGGTCGTTGAGACGTTTCGACTGCGCTACATTTATGAATGTGATAGTTAGCCACAGTTAACCAATCTAAAATTACTATTCATCTATAAACATAGTGTATAATTATGTCTAATTTATTTTCATTCCTGTTTCTTCAACGAATTAAAGTATCGGGTTTCAACACGGACTGATATCAGTTACAGAAGCGTTAAAAACCAGCAGGGAGTACTAAACAGCCAGCTGTTTTAACGTTATTTTTTGTGGCTCATCATCAGAAGCACATAAGAGTTCATGGTTGATTAAGTTGGACCCCACTGGCTGAATGGTCGATGAGCTAGTTTGCCTTGTAACCGGTAGGTTCTAGGTTCGAACCCCTGTGGTGGGTGCATGCCACTGAAGAGTCATTAGTGGATGTCAAACAGCTGTCCAGCACTTTATGCTTTTACATGGTCCTCTAAAATCATGTCGGACTTGAAACAAATCAAGCCCCTACAAACCAACCCTTGAGAATCAAAGTATTGCAGGACCGTAAGGAACTATATACGTATGTAAGGCTTTTAGAGATGAAATCATCGCAAAGAGAGCTTTGTTTGGCTTTATTTCCTTCCCTTCTTAGTGTCCTGATGATGAGTATTTTCTACTATATACTTCCCCTATCTAGGTCTACAAGTTCATGATGAAATCAAGGAGTTCCCTTTTACACCGCTAGGTGTACAGAAGAAGAAGTAATTGTGTGCGGGAATTCGCAGTTCTACAGTGGATTCCCTTTACAAAGTCTTCTCAACTAAGTGTGAGCCATTTGGATCCAAATGAAAGCTAACGGCGCCTTTTTTAGACTGCCTGAGTTATATTACTTTCAGTTCATAAGAGATACTAAGAGTTAAATGGTTGGTCAGTATGTGTAACACATAATTTAGCCAAATAACATTAATGAAAAGATTAGGTCATATGCTTTGTCCATTAAATGTAAACTGAGAAAAGATAATACATCCTAAATTCAACTGTATACTACTAAAGATACAGAACAAAACGCGTCACCGATGAGGCATTGCTCAAGTAAAGTCTAACATCATCTGTCTTGCCTCGACGGCCATGGAAGCTTAAACAAGAAAGTAAGGTAGACATTCACAAAGAGATATTTTTCATTCTTACCCCGAAAACTTGCAAACCACTATAATTATTGTTTTGTTGGATTCCGAGAGGAACATATACCTTCGACAGCCCATCTCCATTTTGTCCCGTTTGATCATGTTTTCTTCAGAATGGCCCCACTATTGCCCATAATATTTCATCTCCTCCGAAACACACGAGCTCTTCCATGTCACCCTTTCACACAGGTTCATATCTCCCTTTCCTATCCTGGTATCACTCTACCGATGGTCTGGTCTGGCGCGCAATGTCATCCAGTGGTCTCCTCAACGAGTGTCCAAACCAGCCCCATTTCCCCCTTCATATTTCTTGACCATGAAGGACTTCATTGGTTGGTCCACACAGTGTATTTTCGCCAATCGTTTCTGGAGTACCATCTGATCTGTGGTAGAAAGCTGGAGGAGGTAGCTGTTGATTAAGGTCCACAACTGGCTGTTTGAAGTACTTTTCGTGACTCCGACTCATATAAAGGAGTGACTGACTAACTAACCATCGGGGTTCAAAGTCCGAATGTTGTTCTTAGTGCCCAACCTCCTGTATTTTCAAGGATGCTGCCTAGCAAGATAAGTTAAGGAAGTGACCTCTTTCAAATATATTCCTATGATATTGAGAGGTTCTTGATGTCGTTACTTCATTGGCTATCTTCCTTACCTCCATCTTCTGTATATTCACTTGAATTCCTATATTCAATGTCTACTTCTTTCGCCAATGTTTTAGTTTTCGCCTGTAAGTCTTCAAGTTTGTGTGACATTAGACTTAAATCATTCACGCGCGAATTCCACATCTTCTAGAGTCCACATCTTCTGGTCCAGCCTATTCCTGTCTGCTCGCTCTCGGCTTCCTGCCTCATGCATAATCCAGTCCATCACAATTAAGAATATCATCGGTAATAGTAAGCAAGCAGTCTCGTCTAACTCCTGTAGTCACTTAAATCACAAGCTTCGCTGAGTCCTCCATTGTGGATCAGGTGATACGGGGCATTTTCATATAGCTGTTGAATAAGCAAACCAGCATACTGAATGAAGGGAAATATCCTCACGTCTTTAGAATACCTAATATGGATCACGAAATGACATCAGTTAGGGACCATTGAAACAAAGAAATTACGGGACAATCATTTGGTAGTAGTCTAAGGCTCTTCAGTAGTATGCGCCCATCATACCATCAGGAATCCAACTAAAAACTTTCAGGTAACTAGATGACTTCACTCACTATTCCTATATTAGGATGGAATCTAGTGGCTTATGAATTCTCACTTTCACTAATTCGCAATATACAGCACCACCGTTATCCAATCTCAGCATCGGTGAGTATGTATTCTCACAGCGGTCACGAATTCTCACTGGAATTCTTAGTAACTTTATCTAGCAGTCAGTCGCCAGTGAGAAGTAGAATGATTTTCAAGAAGTGATTTGCCGGAATACTTTGTTAGACTGTATCTCACTTACTTCAGTTATTTACATATGTAGGATAAACTTGAATTACCTGATCCATCAACTTGCATTTGAAGCATATACGTAGCCGATTCAATCTTCATAATATTGAATATGTACAGACTGAGGAGTAAGGTGAGGTTTAATTTTGACCTATGCGACACCATTTTACTAAAGAAAATATAACAAAAGAAAGAAGCAGTGTCTTTTAATTTAATGTGATTTAAAACAAATAACAGTAAACGGCTTTTTTCCTTCCTTGGATTTCTAGTTGAAAATACATATTCAGTAGCGCAACTTCACCTTTTCCTATTCTCTACGGTCCTTTTCAGCATGGCCTTACTAATACCGGTTATCTCTCATCCCTGCAACTCACACGATCATCTCCATATCATCGTTGGACACATGTCCTACTCGTGCTTTCCAACTCGGTTTCACTCGATAGTCTGGCATGCAAGTGACGTAAAGAATATCAATCCATGCATGAACAGGATTTGCGAATCTAAATTGTTGACTATTTTTACAGGCTCGCCAGTACTTTGAAAGTAAGTATGCGGATTACTCATCGGATGCTGGTAAACTTGACTTTACAGGAAGTGAAATTTGCAAATCTTGTTAGCTAGACAAATTGAAGTAACCTAGAAAATGAATGGCAGTTTTGCTGGTTTGAGAACGAGTCCATCGTCTGTGTATCCGGTCTGAATCAAATGAGATAGTACAATCAATTCAAACCATCCGATTTCTGGCTTATTTTGGTTCCTGAGTTGAGTCAAACCTGGTAAGAAACCGGTGAATTAGGCCACAAATGAGCCTAACGCCAATCTGGTGTCTAGATCACTTCAATCTGGTTGACTAGAAAGCACTACTGGTTGGTTTGTGCAGTGGTAGACAACTACTAATTTCAATCAAACAGTAGTATGTGGCGTCGTGTATTCCTCGAAAGGATGAGTCAGATCACCACCAGTCAACTACTAGAAACCCTTCCCGATTTTGCTGGTATGTTGGCGACCTGCTTATAACTTGAGCTACGGAAAACCCCATCAATAGAGCGCGTGTGGTTTCTATTATTAAATTCGTTTCAATCTAGTGACATACGACCTCAATAGTGCTGTTCACGAGTGTTGAAAACATTGACAACCCACAGTTTCGCAAGTTCCTACTAAAAACGTGAACAGACATTAGCCTCAGTTGATGGCAGGTTATCCCATTAAATGAGATGACCGTTCATCAGTGGTATCGCTCCTTCAAAAACTGTACCCCTGAAGTTTTATAACTGGCATCCAACAAACTGTTGTGGACTTTGTGAAGGAGTATAAGAAGAGATATCATAACGGTGGATTGGTTTGCGCTTTGACTCAGATAGAACTGTGTCAAACGATCTACTACCAATTGAATCTTTTATTTGAAGATCCAGGATGGAAGGAAAATATTATGCAATAAACTCCACCGAAAATTCTGTACATTTCATGAACAATTGTTCAGAATAAAGCTATTAATAATAATATTATTATTATTGTGAAGAATTATTTAGCTGGTTGTAAAAATGTACAAAATTCGAAATGGTTTTCCATTCAAAGGAATGTTTACTTGGCACGTACGCTTATTGTCCTGAATACGTTTCAAGAATCAGCTTCATCAAACCGCATACTTCCTAGACAATCAGTCGACCGATTCTCAATATTTGTTTTTTAGCGTTATTAAAGATAAATGATAAATTTCTTCTAGTAAAAAACGCCCACTGTTATCTTTGAACATTCAAGGTTATAATATGAGTAAATTGGCTAGGTGTGAAGCAGAAATCAGCCACTTTCAAAGTGGGCAGTGATCAAAGTTCTAGTTGATTAGTCTGTTACTTCTGATGACGATAATGATGAAGACACGCATATGGTGTGTTATTTTCAGTCACGTCCGATCTGACATGCAGTCTTCTGCATCAACATCATCTTATCTGACACACTGTCGTCACCTTCAGTTGATTCTCTGACTGATGGTGACTATCGATTTCAGCTTATAACAACCATTACGAATGAAACGAGGCAGTGAAATCGAAGCCGAAAAAGAATTACAATGCAATAATATTGAAAAGAGATAAGGGATTACAAAGCATCACTTAACGCGAGAGAATTGTTCAAAGTCTGGTAGTCAGGTGAACCAGAGTTTAACAGATTCATCTATTTTGATTGGACACTAGTAACTAGTGTGATGTGTCTAGTCCTTTCTTCGCCGCAGACTGAATTCTATCAGTCAGGTTTGTACTGTGGCCACCAATCTAGGTAGCTCGCCATCATGGTGCACATTGATTTGATGATATTAGATGGCTGGAGGCAATCGGCAGAAAGCCTTGGATCTAGGTTTCGTGCCAGTTGGCATTCATCAGCAAGGCGTATCTGCAACCTTGAAGGAACTCATGTCCCTGCTGAGACCCGTATATTAAAATATATATCGAGCTTATCAACTGTGAAAGAATAAGCTGGCTATATGACAGGAGATAAAGTCGAATTCTCAGTCGAAAATCCCATTTCTATGGTAAATTAACGACTTATCACAACAATGGTTGTTAAGAGATACAATTATATCATTATTTATGGAGAGTTCAAATAGGTTCACACTTTATATTCAAGTCTGAACTGAAGAAGTCTAGAAAGAGATTATGGAAGCTTCTCAAGTTAAACACCCACTACATGGAGTGCAGCCACATTTACCTCAACTGCAAATCTTCTCTAGTATAGTTGTGTGGTTAGCGTACAGGACAAGTTATGTATATGGAATCCCCGCCATTGACCTGATAACTTGACGACGTTGCTTAGTAGTGATTAGAAAAGGGTTGTCGATACATCTTTCAGGTTTCATTTCTGTCTCTGTAAAATCCTCTACGTGTTAGACGGCCATTACGTAGTATATTTCAACAGCATATGACAGAATTCATAAGCTGTGTATGTTTTAACCTTTCTTCCATCATTTCAAAAATATATACCAGTTTTTTAATTTAATCTTTGGTATACCATTTTTCAGAGGTGAGATTTACAGTATTGATGCCGTAATTTGACATGCCCACATACATTTGATAATGTCTAGGCCATTCTGTATTGTCATTAAAATCACGAACATTGTACGTATTTCACAGGCTGTATTACAGTTAGTTGACCCGACGAGTTGATTGAAGCATTAATAACACCATTTACAAGACAGGAGTGAATTAATTAGACAAGAAGGCAATGGATGATGCGCACTTGCCAGAAGACTTATATGACATGTTACACATACACAAAGACTTACAGGCAAAAACCAACAAACTGGTAGGAGAAGCATCCAGTAGATATAGGACTTATAGTGAACACAGATAAGATGGAGGTGATGTGGGTAACAAATCAAACAACGATCCAACCAACCAGTCAACACCACCAACAAGCACAACTCACTATCACCCCGGAATACATCTGGAAGATGTCACTTCCTTCGCTTACCTAAACAACCAACGTTTCAACCACAGGTAGTCGACATGGGTGAGAATGTCAATGACAACTCTAACCAGAAAGTTAAGACAGACCTTCATTGCCACTCTGACATCAGTTTGAAAATCTTCCGCACACTGCCAGGGCACAAAGAATAAGATTGGGGTTTTCAACACCAATGTTAAGTCAGTCAGTCAGTCAGTCAGTGGACTCTTCTATATGGGTCTGAAACTTGGTCAGTGAGTCACGAGAAACATTTCAAACAGTCAGATGCACACATTTGTCAACAACTGGAAACCAAGGGAACAATAGTAATACTAACAAATAATAATTTGCCGTTGATGAGGCTTGACTTGACCTAATCGGAGTTAATGAGAACCTGAGTTTAGCTTAATCACTTTCTGCCATTATATGTAAGGTCTGCTTTGCAAATGTTTAAAGGTGTTTAGAAATCCGTCTGAAATATTATTAGCTTATCTGAACATAGGGTAAACGGTTCATTCCTGAAGTTCACCCGGATAGAGAGGTGAGATTGGAAGTCCTCTGCTTATATACATTTATGTGTGTCGGTGGCACAGTGGTTAGGATTCTCGCCGACCATGCACATGGTCCGGGGTACGAGCCCACGCCGGCGCAAACCTGATATCTATGGTCGGCCTGCGAATTTTGGGCTACCGATATCCATGCTGAAAATTCCATACTTGTACCAAAAATACAGTGTAAAATCAAGCTGTAATCAAAAAAAAATCAAAAAAAATGTGTCTAGCAGGCTGGAATTATGAGTTAAATCGAAAAAAATGGCACCTCGACGGCTTCCGCTTCACTAGTTCAAGAATCTCCATCAGCCACTTCGCGGTTGAGTGTTGTGCTGAATCTATCATATCTAGTATTGAGTAGAGTTGAACATCCTCGTCAGACGAAGCCATATATCTTGCGACTCACATACCCACACCCTCAGCCACATCGATTCCATCCGTTTCTCGACAAACTGAACCGGAATAGAGTATCTTGAACAGCGGCTGAAGTTCTTCATGAACTATCCACAGACGAAAGAACACCACTAGAGAATTATGCTGCTAGTGTCACTGAAAAGACAACTGAGGATATCTCTAGGAAGTTAAATAAGAGCCTAAAGACACCAACTAAAATAAATGTCTTTAATCATTCCATTGCATCACTACTACCAACTCAAATACGAATCTTACCAACTATGGACCTAAATGTTGAGATGCGACGTCAACTGTGTTTGAGTTTTAATGCCACGTTTCTTGACTAGATATATGAAAAGTCTAAAATTCGTAATTAATTGTCTAAAGAACACCAAAGTCAGTCGAATTAATTAAGGAAGAACGAATATTCAGTGATGATACACTCAGTTAAAGTTTCCAGGGTGGCGGTATCTAACAAATCCAGTAGACTAAATTGAACAGACTTTGATGAATTTTCTACAATGTCAATGAAGTGTGTGAAACATGCTTATCAAAAAGGATCCCCCAGACAGATTAGACAGAGCTACAAACTGCAAAGATATCTACCAGGGAAATTTATAAATGACTTCATCTATCCGGTTGTAAAATTCCCTGCTCATGTACAGATTACTTTAGGCATGCAAACCTACTGTTCCACTCTGCCTAGTACTAGACATGATAAATTCTAAATTACGAAGTTGCTGGTCTACATGCTTAGACCAGTGAAAGACAGACTGTCCATACATAATCTCTGCAACATTTATGCATATCTGGTATGTTTTGGTAACGAGAATGTGAATCGTTCTCAAACGTTAGTAACATAGTACATAACATGATAAATTATACCACTGGAACTTACCCACAATATAGACTAAATAGAGGCTAACCAGCTTATCTAGTATAGAATATTTTGTTGGACTATTTATACCACTAACACATGACACTATTTCATTCAGTGATTAATTCCCCTAACCAATCAGAAATTGGCTCGATCTGATTATTTATGTTTGTGCGATTAACCATCATTCAGTTATGAAGCCGGATGTGTATGTATATGAAATTCGTGAGAAAAATTTGTCTCTTCCTCTCTACATACGCGTCAATATTCGTTTAAGTGGATCAGAAAACAGGCTTAAAACAAAACAGTCATGATTTTTAGAAACAAAATGTCAATTTTAGATCACTGGCCAGATTACTGTTTTGATCTGGTCAGGTATGTTAAACACGATTAAATCTATTATGCACAGGCATATCCACTATTTCATATAAATAAAATATGAAAAGAAGTAACTTGGTGAGTGGTTGCCAGATGTGGAATCCACAATGCGCTTGATGTCATTTGCACGGAAGGTGATGGCTGTGTGGTGGTCTGAGTGTTCTAGTGGATAACGCTTTGACGTTTGGTAGGGTAGGTACTGATTTCGAGTCTCAGTGTGGACACCACCACACTCTCAAATTTGTACGATGAGTCCCAAGTAGGGAGAAATGCGCATCGTAGACTCGATTGCAATGCTAGTTAGCATCAATCAGAATTACTTCATGTTTATCGCCAGACATCGTCGTAGCATCTGTACTGGAAGGTGTCAACAAATCAATACAGGTCGAACATCTCACTCCAATCATATGATGGGATTATCAAAATTGATTTTAGTTAGAGAAGCATTGTAAACTAACGGGGAGTAGTGGACAGCTGTTTTGGAATAGTTTGTGGCTTACCGGCAGTACGCAGCTCCTGAATGAGGTAGATGTTAGAATTCATGGGAACTGGGATATTGAGTCGAATCCCGCCAGCTGAATGGTGTACGAACAAGCATTTCTCGTAACCGGAAGGCTCTAGTTTCAAACCCCTGTCCTGTACTCCCTGGTGGTTTACAACTGTGTCCTATCTGATACGAATCTATGATCAAATGTGAAAACGATCAGATTCCAATAAATAAACTCTAACTAAAAATTCAAGTGTGAGTTTAACACATGTGAATATTACAAGGGTATTCGTTTTGTTGTATTCAAACGACAATAAAAGTGACAAAATTGAATTCCACGTACAAATTTTTTGGTTTTCTTTCCGTCCAAAATGGTATATCGTAGTCTAATTTGTAGGTTAGTGTGCCTCCAATTAATGTGTTGTGCCAGTGTGTTTAGTGTTTAGATATCACGTCAAATGACAAGCAGTGTAGAGTCAGAAAATTTCGGATAGTATTTGAATAGTACGATAGTTAGCCAACTATGGTTGTTTGAATCCTGTCACTTTCTAGCAGTCGGACAACATATCCAATGCAGTCCTACAGCAGGTGAATCGTGAGCACAAATAGATGAGTGGTAACGTCTCTGACTGCATCACTAGTTGACGTGGTTACATACCCCATAGTCGATATTGGTTCCTTCACTGTAGCAGATACGCCTTATTGATGAGTGTGGAGAAGCACTAGAGAATGGGATGCCTACGAATTGCAGTCGTTTATCTAAAATATATCCAACATACTCATGTCTGAGCTCAGCGTAGGATGCAATATAAATCACCTTCCTCTTTTCATTTTCTTTCACTCCCCGATGGTTGCTCTTCCTTCTTTCGGGTAACCGTCCTACTCAAATCGTGTGGCACCATCTAACACTTGTCTATTCCTAGATATGTGGTCTTCGCCACCCCTTAAGACCATCCATTAAAAACCCTGTTTTGTTTATCGAAGAGTAACAACAGAATTTTCAACGCCCTGTTGTTACACAGCCTACACAAAGTGTCAGTTCAGTACTAACAACAGTATTACTACTCGAATATTAGTCATTTTATTGCTAATATTTCAGTGGGAAGAAGCCTTTCTGAAGTTCATACTTTTTCACTCACTCACTCACTCACTATCCAGTGAAACTACACTCGTGATGAATTCACGCTACTTCATCCTGTCGTCGTATTATGTGTACAATGTTCATTAGTGTCATATCAAATGCTTGTTTTGTTTTGTGTTTTCAGTATATTCTCTTTTCATATCTCATCTACTTCCGGATAAATTTTCCAGCTAATTAGTTGTTCCAAATCGAAAATTACTGAATTTGTCTCACTTCCTGTCGCTGATTGTCTATCATACTGAATAATTGTTTGCCTCGTTACCTAGATACTTCATTCATTTTATTTTGACTGACACAACACAAAGTGCAGTGATGCAGTGTCCAAACACCCGTTCATATATACACTATTGCATAATACCGTTCGGTTGCATTCCGAGTGGAACAACACATCTCCATGTCATCCTGTTCTCTGTAGTCAACCTTAGTCGGCTCCACGATTGCCCATTAGCTCTCATCTCCTCCAACTCACACGATCTCCTCCATGTCACCCGTTGACCGTGCGTGACTCGCCGTTTCTCATTCGTGTTCCAGTCGAGCGATTACCTGGAGAGCGATGTCAACCGATGTTATCTCACTGTTTGTCTGGTGTATCTCCACTTCTTTTGGAATTCTTCTTGATCAACAGTATCTCGACTGGTTCATTTTCCTGGGTTTCCTGTTTGGAATACACTCTGGCCAGCTGGTCATCTGTTCTGCGGCATGCAGCCAGTGAAGGCAGATGTCGATTAGAGTGTGCAGTCACTACCGACTGTCCATTATCTAATTTATGCTTCCTAGGTGAGTGAAACAATAAATGACCTCTTTCGAATTTTTTCGGTCGACGGTGATTATTCATTGTTGATATTTATGCTAGTCGGTTGATTTTTTTATCTTCGCCACCTCCATCTTCTGTATGTTTACTTGAGGTCATGTCTTTACAGTCTGCATTTTGTGTCAGTTTGTATGTTTTAGCCTGTAAGTTTTTGAGTTTGCGTTACAGTAGAGATAAACCATCCTCGAAGTTCAGTTCTTCTAAATTTTTCTTATTGGTTCGATATATTCATGTCTTGTTACTCACCACCGGAAGACTTCCGTATAAACCAGTCCATCACAATTAGGAAATTCATCAGTGATAGTGAGCTGAGATCCATGTTTTACTCGCGAAGACAATATCAGTAATCTGTAAAGTGAAGAACCTATCTCAGGACAAACGCTTTCATTCCACTTGTTCTAATGAAGCCTATCCAGTTAGTTAGAGAAACCTGAGTTGTGCATACAAAACGGAATTATCCGACCAACTACATATGCACCAAAAGTTTAAGCTCAACTGATTGAACTAGTGGTAGTTATGCTAGTGTGGTCGTGTGATACAGACAAGAGAATTGTTATTCTCACATGTTCCCACATTTCAATTCGCCATTAGCATAGCGGTTAGGACGCTCGCCGACCATGCACATGGTTCGGGGTTTGATCCCCCGCCACCGACGCACTCCTTTACCTCGCTGAGCCAGAAATAATGCTGGTAAAGAGGAAAGGTTGGGCATGAGGCTAGCAACCCCATCCTGTAAAATAAACACTGCTACAGAAACTTCAAGCCACTAGCTTGAAGCCCTATGTTCCACTGGGGAACATGAAGGATAAAAAATTAGCAACAGAATATGATACATCTATTTGAACATTCTATTTAATGTTAGAGTTGAAATTTTATTCCCAGAGTTCACTACTGCATTAACAAGAGAACTATAAGTATATTTAAACATTCTGTTTCATGTTGTTTGATGTTAGCCGAAGTCACACGCTCGGCGATTGGTCAAGTAATATAAGCTGTAGATAGATGAGCAGCGGCTTGATTAATAAAAAATATACCTTAGCTCTCGTGTCTTGCCTTCTGTCGTTACAATATCGATATTAGTAATATTCAGTACCTATTGTAGTCAGAGTCAATCCAGGATATCGAAGCTGTGAAAAGTCGATTACTAGGCTGTACTAAAGTAAAATATCGGTGAGGAATTCTAACTATAGCACATAACGCAGTCAGACACAAGCATGAAGTATGATGGATTAAAGTGACAGTCCCGAAATATAATATGGCAGGTTATAGACCAAAGGAGAGTGACAGAGTGAGACTTGTCATTCCTAATCAATTTTGTTTTGCAACATGAAATTACATGTTATCAGATTGCATAAAATGATAACTAAGGTTTTCGTTTTTATTCTCTTTCGTGTGCGTCGGTTGTAGAGTGGTTAGGATTCTCGCCGACTATGCACATGGGCCAAGGTTTGACCCCATGTCGACGCACACCTGATAGCTACGGTCGGCCTGCAAAATTTGGGCTACCGATATCCATGCTGAAAATTCCATACTTGTACAGTATGGAATCAAGCTGTAATCAAAAATAAAAATAATAATCCCATAATCTCACATGCCTTCCAACTTCTATGCATCCTGTCAATTGCCGTATTTATAACAATAATTGTTTTTCCACTCAACACTGAATTGTGATAATGACATCACAAATATTTGAATCTGAATGGCATTTCATACCACGACCATTATTATTATTATTATTACTATGTTATGTATTCACACATATGATTGATTTCCCTCATCGGATATAATTTCTTGAGAAGAAAATCATATACTATTCTACAGCTTGATAATAAATTCCTCATCGAAAACAGATTCTTCACTAAACCATTTGTTTTCAGTTTTACTTTAAGCGAATAAATACACCAGAAACGATATTCAGGTAGATGAGAACTGATTGTTATACTTGGAAGGTGGATTTCATGAGGAGTTGACAATCATTTAGTCGATACTGAGAAGCACAACGCACTGCATGTGTGTTTGAAACTGACTGAAAGTAAACAGTGATAATCAGACCATGGGTTGTAAGCAGTATACTTCGGTTACCTGATAAGCGTGTAATAATTCATTCATTCAAGCTACGACGGAAGAGCTGTCCAGATGAAGCTAGTTTCGAGTGGTTCTATGTTGTACACTTGGTTAGTGTCGAATTTGTAATTGGAATGGGTAGGGTAATCCTCACCGGAGTTGGTTGAATGTTTCGACATGATGTCTCTGGTGCTCTCTATATCGTCTTGGCTGAGGCAGCCAATTATTAGTAAATGTGACACATTTACGTATGAATACTACTTGTATTAAAATGG